CAGGGACACAGAATTGTTACTCAGGGACAGACACAGAATTGTTACTGAGGGACACAGAATTGTTACTGAGGGACACAGAATTGTTACTGAGGGACACAGAATTGTTACTCAGGGACACAGAATTGTTACTCAGGGACACAGAATTGTTACTCAGGGACACAGAATGTTACTCAGGGACACAGAATTGTTACTCAGGGACAGACACAGAATTGTTACTGAGGGACACAGAATTGTTACTGAGGGACACAGAATTGTTACTCAGGGACAGACACAGAATTGTTACTGAGGGACACAGAATTGTTACTGAGGGACACAGAATTGTTACTCAGGGACACAGACACTGTAGGGACATTGTTACTCAGGGACACAGAATCGTTACTCAGGGACACAGAATCGTTGAATTAAAGAGTATGTCAGACAACACGCAGAGGAGTGGCAGGCAGAGGAGGCAATGTTTCAGGAGCGAGCAGACGTGGCAGCAGAGGAAGGGGTCGAGGCAGCACTAGTCGCAGCCAGAGGCCAGTGCTCCCGGTGTCATCCAGCGGTCGTGTCTCCACCGACAACCCTGCCGTCATCGATTGGTTGGCTCGGTCGTCTTCCTCTTCCCAGGTCACCTCTGACACCTACAGCCAACGGTCGGTGGGGTACGTCAGACACAACCGTTAGTTGGCATGGCCCGGGAGCAAGCCCACTGAAATCACGTGTCCTCTACCTGCCCCTGTCCTTTGGTGTTCCCTCACCAAGCGAAGTATCGCATGCTGTGGGCTCAGCCCCACTGTACAGTGAGGAAGAGCTAACAGAGGGCGGCGGTCAGGAACGGGGGGAGACATCCGCCTCTTCAGCAGCCAGGCGAAGAAGTACTGGCGAGGAGAGTGGCTCGGTAGCCGGTCTAGAGACAGGTCTGTCTCCTGACCCACACGCAGCCGAGGGGGCTAGTAGTGAGGCGGAGACCCTAATTGATGATGATGAGGCTGATCGCACTTGGCAGCCTCGTCGTCATCAGGCTATTGCTTCCGCATCATCAGGAGAAGAGGGTGCCAGCTTGGCAGCGAGCAAAACAGTCGGTGGGTTGCCCAGGAGGCAGCCTGCTCAGGGTCGCAGCAGTGTCAGTGGAGGCAAACGGCCACGGAGTAGAGCACCAGCTCCACTGCAGCCTACCACCACGGCCAGTAGTGGTGCCGGTGTGCACGGAGGAAGTAGCAGTCAGCCAGTGAGGAGTAGCGGGGGCAAAGTTTCCTACGGGGTGGTGTGGCAATTTTTCGTCAAGCCGCCCGAGGAAGTAAACGTAGCCGTATGTCGACTATGTGGCCAGAAAGTCAAGCGTGGCCAGGGGGCCCATGTCTCCATCGCCACACTCTGCCATGTGCCACTTTCAGGTCTCCTCACACTGCTGGTGGGTTCCATTTTGTCATAGGGTGCTGGCAGATTACGGGCCTCCCATTGCTGCTGCCAGGCCCGTAATCTGTCATGGGCCCCTGTACCGCCTCCTCATGCTGCTGCCAGGCCCGTCCATCTGTCATCATGGGTCCCTGTACGGCCTCCCATTGCTGCTGTCTCCATCGCCACACTCTGCCATGTGCCACTTTCAGGTCTCCTCACACTGCTGGTGGGTTCCATTTTGTCATAGGGTGCTGGCAGATTACGGGCCTCCCATTGCTGCTGCCAGGCCCGTAATCTGCCATGGGCCCCTGTACCGCCTCCTCATGCTGCTGCCAGGTCCAGAGTGTGTCATGGGTCCCTGTACGGCCTCCCATTGCTGCTGTCTCCATCGCCACACTCTGCCATGTGCCACTTTCAGGTCTCCTCACACTGCTGGTGGGTTCCATTTTGTCATAGGGTGCTGGCAGATTACGGGCCTCCCATTGCTGCTGCCAGGCCCGTAATCTGTCATGGGCCCCCTGTACCGCCTCCTCATGCTGCTGCCAGGCCCGTAATCTGTCATGGGTCCCTGTACGGCCTCCCATTGCTGCTGTCTCCATCGCCACACTCTGCCATGTGTGCCACTTTCAGGTCTCCTCACACTGCTGGTGGGTTCCATTTTGTCATAGGGTGCTGGCAGATTACGGGCCTCCCATTGCTGCTGCCAGGCCCGTAATCTGTCATGGGCCCCTGTACCGCCTCCTCATGCTGCTGCTGCCAGGCCCGTAATCTGTCATGGGTCCCTGTACGGCCTCCCATTGCTGCTGTCTCCATCGCCACACTCTGCCATGTGCCACTTTCAGGTCTCCTCACACTGCTGGTGGGTTCCATTTTGTCATAGGGTGCTGGCAGATTACGGGCCTCCCATTGCTGCTGCCAGGCCCGTAATCTGTCATGGGCCCCTGTACCGACTCCTCATGCTGCTTGCAACAAGGTGGAATTCAACCCTCATATGTCCCTAGTACCGCCTCCCATTGCAGCTGAAAGGCCATCACCATTTCCTGATGTTACAAGCGGATACTCCCCTGTGTAACTTAGATGTCATAGGGCCTGGCAGCTCATTACGGGACACCTGCCGCTTGCTCAGGCCCTTTGAGGAGGCCACGTACCGATTCGTGATGTCGGCAGGACTATGGGATGGGAACCCTGACGTCATTCCTCTGCTTGCACGTCCCGGAACAAATGCTGTTAACAATGGGTGGTCAGGGTCGGTAGACGTGGCGCACAGATCTCAACGCCACATCTGACCCCTGTGGGGGGCAGGACTTTCAAGAGGAGGAGGTAGAGGACATTGGTGCTCAGGAATTATTGAGTGAAATGGGTGCCACTCAGCGGACAGGAGTGGAGGAGCCTCCCATCTGCTAGAGGAGGAGGAGGAGACAGAGGACCCCAGTACCGTGGCAGTATGCTGTGGAGATGGAGGCAGGGGTCCCTCGCATTCCTTGGCACAAATGGCCCATAGCATGCTCGGTTGCTTGCGTAGCGACAGCCCGAATAATAACCATCAGACAGAGGGATGACTTTTGGCTGTCCACTTGTTGGACCCTCGCTGGTGCTGGCAGATTACGGCCTCGTTCAAAAATGGTGGCCTTTTTCACACTGCTGCTGAGGGGAGGCCAAAATAACGTACTAAAAAAACCACCTATGTAGTCAGTTGGTCTCTGCCTTTCTGCGCCAACGTCCATCTCAGACACTGTGGGCCCTGTGCGCTCGCGTCCGCTGCCATGGCAGCAGGGGAGGGGTGGGGTGGTAGGAGCAGTACGGCAGCTCCCCATTGCTGCGGTGCCATCGCCACACTCTGCCATGTCCATGATGAGTAGCTTTCTTCACTGCAGTGGGTACTAACCAGCCGTCAGCAGCAGCAGCATGGCAGGTGGACCTGGAGCGGACCTCAAACAACAGGCTTGGGCTGCTTGGACAGCACCCTGCCTGCCATGGGACCCCCTTGACTACTCCAACAAACTTGCTTTGCCCCAACTAGCTGAATTTGCCCTTGAAAGGCCTGTCATGCCCGGCCAGTAGCGTGGCATCGGAGCGCGTGTTTAGTGCGGCAGGAGGTATTGTAATCCGCGGAGGACACTCCATGTCCACCCAAAGTGTGGAGAGACTCACGTTTGTGAAAATGAATCAGGCGTGGATTAGTCTGGATTTCAAACCACCAGTGCCTGACACACTGACTAAATCCGCCATGAATCATGCCCCAAACATGTGCCAGGTCTCCATACGGCCTCCCACTGCTGTCTCCATCGCCACACTCTGCATGTGCCACTTTCAGGTCTCCTCACACTGCTGGTGGGTTTCCATTTTGTCATAGGGTGCTGGCAGATTACGGGCCTCCCATTGCTGCTGCCAGGCCCGTAATCTGCCATGGGCCCCCGTACCGCCTCCTCATGCTGCTGCCAGGTCCAGAGTGTCTCATGGGTCCCTGTACGGCCTCCCATTGCTGCTGTCTCCATCCATCGCCACACTCTGCCATGTGCCACTTTCAGGTCTCCTCACACTGCTGGTGGGTTCCATTTTGTCATAGGGTGCTGGCAGATTACGGGCCTCCCATTGCTGCTGCCAGGCTGCCCCCGTAATCTGCCATGGGCCCCCGTACCGCCTCCTCATGCTGCTGCCAGGCCCGTACCAGAGTCTCTCATGTCCATGGGTCCCTGTACGGCCTCCCATTGCTGCTGTCTCCATCGCCACACTCTGCCATGTGCCACTTTCAGGTCTCCTCACACTGCTGGTGGGTTCCATTTTGTCATAGGGTGCTGGCAGATTACGGGCCTCCCATTGCTGCTGCCAGGCCCGTAATCTGCCATGGGCCCCCGTACCGCCTCCTCATGCTGCTGCCAGGTCCAGAGTGTCTCATGGGTCCCTGTACGGCCTCCCATTGCTGCTGTCTCCATCGCCACACTCTGCCATGTGCCACTTTCAGGTCTCCTCACACTGCTGGTGGGTTCCATTTTGTCATAGGGTGCTGGCAGATTACGGGCCTCCCATTGCTGCTGCCAGGCCCGTAATCTGCCATGGGCCCCCGTACCGCCTCCTCATGCTGCTGCCAGGCCCGTAATCTGTCATGGGCCCCTGTACCGCCTCCTCATGCTGGGCCCGTAATCTGTCATGGGTCCCTGTACGGCCTCCCATTGCTGCTGTCTCCATCGCCACACTCTGCCATGTGCCACTTTCAGGTCTCCTCACACACTGCTGGTGGGTTCCATTTTGTCATAGGGTGCTGGCAGATTACGGGCCTCCCATTGCTGCTGCCAGGCCCGTAATCTGCCATGGGCCCCCGTACCGCCTCCTCATGCTGCTGCCAGGTCCAGAGTGTCTCATGGGTCCCTGTACGGCCTCCCATTGCTGCTGTCTCCATCGCCACACTCTGCCATGTGCCACTTTCAGGTCTCCTCACACTGCTGGTGGGTTCCATTTTGTCATAGGGTGCTGGCAGATTACGGGCCTCCCATTGCTGCTGCCAGGCCCGTAATCTGCCATGGGCCCCCGTACCGCCTCCTCATGCTGCTGCCAGGTCCAGAGTCTCTCATGGGTCCCTGTACGGCCTCCCATTGCTGCTGTCTCCATCGCCACACTCTGCCATGTGCCACTTTCAGGTCTCCTCACACTGCTGGTGGGTTCCATTTTGTCATAGGGTGCTGGCAGATTACGGGCCTCCCATTGCTGCTGCCAGGCCCGTAATCTGCCATGGGCCCCTGTACCGCCTCCTCATGCTGCTGCCAGGTCCCGTAGAGTGTCTGTCATGGGTCCCTGTACGGCCTCCCATTGCTGCTGTCTCCATCGCCACACTCTGCCATGTGCCACTTTCAGGTCTCCTCACACTGCTGGTGGGTTCCATTTTGTCATAGGGTGCTGGCAGATTACGGGCCTCCCATTGCTGCTGCCAGGCCCGTAATCTTCCATGGGCCCCCGTACCGCCTCCTCATGCTGCTGCCAGGTCCAGAATGTCTCATGGGTCCCTGTACGGCCTCCCATTGCTGCTGTCTCCATCGCCACACTCTGCCATGTGCCACTTTCAGGTCTCCTCACACTGCTGGTGGGTTCCATTTTGTCATAGGGTGCTGGCAGATTACGGGCCTCCCATTGCTGCTGCCAGGCCCGTAATCTGCCATGGGCCCCCGTACCGCCTCCTCATGCTGCTGCCAGGTCCAGAGTCTCTCATGGGTCCCTGTACGGCCTCCCATTGCTGCTGTCTCCATCGCCACACTCTGCCATGTGCCACTTTCAGGTCTCCTCACACTGCTGGTGGGTTCCATTTTGTCATAGGGTGCTGGCAGATTACGGGCCTCCCATTGCTGCTGCCAGGCCCGTAATCTGCCATGGGCCCCTGTACCGCCTCCTCATGCTGCTGCCAGGCCCGTAATCTGTCATGGGTCCCTGTACGGCCTCCCATTGCTGCTGTCTCCATCGCCACACTCTGCCATGTGCCACTTTCAGGTCTCCTCACACTGCTGGTGGGTTCCATTTTGTCGTAGGGTGCTGGCAGATTACGGGCCTCCCATTGCTGCTGCCAGGCCCGTAATCTGCCATGGGCCACCGTACCGACTCCTCATGCTGCTGCCAGGCCCGTAATCTGTCATGGGCCCCTGTACCGCCTCCTCATGCTGCTGCCAGGTCCAGAGTGTCTCATGGGTCCCTGTACGGCCTCCCATTGCTGCTGTCTCCATCGCCACACTCTGCCATGTGCCACTTTCAGGTCTCCTCACACTGCTGGTGGGTTCCATTTTGTCATAGGGTGCTGTATGGCCTCCCATTGCTGCTGCCTCCACCGCCACACTGTGGCTCCACACTCTGGTTTTGGCCCCGTGACTGCCCAAATGAGTGAAGTGTGCGGTGATTCTAAGATCGACGGCACTCATCTGCATGTCATACTGACTGACAGTATTATTTCTCTTCCCCAGCAGACTCCAAGGGCATTTAAATTAAGGGTACAGTGTTCTGCACTAATATAAAGGCTCTCTGAAGCCTAGAAACACCCTTTTTATAAGTTAATTTCGCAGCGAATATATTCGCCTCGAATCGAATTTATTCCTCGAATTCGCCGAATCAGCCGAATCGAATTTTTGAATACTTCGCTCATCTCTAATCTTAATGAAAAAGTCGGGTGGGGTGGAAATAGGATGTAAATTTTAGAAAGATTTTGTTTTAAGAAAAAGTGTGACATCTGTATTGGTTTGTCAATTTAGTAAGTTAGTGATGCAACAAGAGACTGAACAGGTGAAGTGAGGTGTTGAGAGATAGATTTGGGTAGCATCAGCATAGAGATAGTATTGGGAGGTTATCAAACGACCAAGTGAGGAGGTGTAGGTAGAGAGCAGAAGGAGCACAAGGACACAGCCTTGGGAGACCCTTATGGAAAGAGGAAGTGGAGAGGAGGTGAAAGAGTTGTAAACAAGACTGAAGTAATGCTTAAACAGGTAGGAGGAGAACCAGGAAAGTGCAGTTTCTTGGAGGCCAAGGGAGTAGAGCTTTTTCAGGAGTAGTAGATGGTCAACTGTATCAAAGGCTACAGAAAGGTCTAATAGTAAGTATGGAGCAGTGCACATTAGTTTTAGTTAGACGTTTGTGACAGTTAATAGGGCAGTTGTTGTGGAGTGTTGCAAGTGAAAGCCAGACTGTTAGGGGTCAAGCAGGTTGTTGTAAGTGAGGTAGCATTTCAGATGGTTGTAGACTAGGCATTCTGGAAGTTTAAAGGTAAACAGGAGCAAGGAGATGGGTCTTACGTTTTTCAGGCTTCTGGGGTCCAGTAAGTGTTTTCTGAGTATGGGGATGACAATTCATGCTTTAGAGGGGCAGTGAAGGTGCTAGCAGAGGGGGAGAGATTGAAGATGTTGTTTAGAGAGCATAGAGTAGAGCAAGAGGGTGACAAAAAGGCACAGCTTTTTTAATTCTGGAGAGAGTAATGGAGGGTTATAACTCCTGTCAGGTTTTTTGCCATCTGTGCCCCATTGGAGAGATTTCCTTTCACATCCTGTCCCATAGCTATAACAGCTAGTTAGACAAATTCCCTATAAAGTGAAGGAAGCCCTAGGTAGTTAGCAGGGTCACCAGAAATAGTGTCCACAATGGATGATTTCCCTTTTTGTCCCATTCTGATTATCATAGAAAATTTAAGATTTTTTTTTATTTCACTTTCGCTGGTAATGGTCACCAGGACACATAGAAAGGGTGAATCTCCATAACGGAGACACAAACAGCAATAAAATCAGATGGAGCCATGATGTTCACTTTGAATACAAAGTCACTTACAAGGAAGATTAAAAAAAAAAGAGATTTTTGTGTAGACGTGATTGGATAATTCAAGTGAATATTCCTTCAATATATCTGCTAAGCCAAGTTAATATTGACCGATGACATTTCTAGTGAACAGTCCCTTTGTCTTAGTAAATTTACTCAATTTCTTTGGAAAATTGGCTGAAAAACTTCAATGACCTAAAGGATTAAAAACATGGAATGCATTGCTAAAACCACATACCATGTACAAATCCACAACAATCATATATTTAGAATTGTCATCATCACATCATACTCAAGATGATTTTTAGTATGAATAGCAGCCACATTGATCTCCTCCATTTTCTCTCTCTCTCTCTCTCTCTCTCTTTATATATATATATATATATATATATATATACATTTATCTTAAAACTTTTGAATAATTATCACTTCTTCCACAGGTCCAAACAGTATCTATTTAGTTTATCTGGTCTCACTTGGATGCTACTTGCATATTAATGAATGCTGTTGTAAATAATTCATGGTAACAGTTTACAATTGGACAACTAAAATCTGCTAGTGGCTTTTCTTTGGTTTGTTATTTTTACTCTGGTATTGTGCACGCTACACTGACTTTTCATGTACAATTCAACAGGGAAAACTGTCAAGAGTAACAAACACCAGACTAAGGGAAATAAATAGGTCAGTATGGATGAGATTACATAAAACTGTATAAAATTTGCACTGAATACAATGGAAAGTATCTTAGAAGCAGATATTGTCATATCTAGCCACCACCCATCTCACTAGTTGGGTTAAAATGAAATTTAGCCAGGTTTATTATTTTGACCAAGTGGAAAGACGTTAGACATTTTTTACTGCTGTCAGTTTCATCATTTGGACAATTTTACTATCTGCCAAATTTCCCCAACAGGATGCATACAGCAATAAAACCTTTTTTGGAGGGTAGGGAAGAGGTACTTGGAAATTCCTTTCATTTCCTGTCCCATTCTCCACTGTCCAAAATTTCCACATTCTACACAAAGCCAAAAAACTAATGTTTTGGTTATGGATTTATATTTTAAGCCAGTAGGATTCAGCAGTTATTTTAATAAGACTCTGTTATTAAAAACTAAACATATTAAAAAATGTGCCCTGTGCAAGTGGATATTTAATACTTACCTCTCTTGTGGGCCATGGCCCAATAGGTTTAGTGAAAAACACACACCATTTCAGTGTTTGAGGGTCTGAATTATTTTTTTAGCATATCCAAAAGAAAAGATCCAATGTGTTATTAAAGTTCTAAAAGACCTTCTTCCTCAAGGCTCAAAATTGAAGTGAAGTGATGCCGGACTTGACAAGATTTTGAAGATAGGGCATGACTGAGTATCTATGTGAAAGCAGGTCTCAGTATCTTAGGTTTTGAATAATTATACCTTTAAAATTGGGTTTCATTTTGGCCGCTGGACTTTTCAATTTATTCTCTGACCTCTATGAGTTAGCCTACCAGAATATAGGTTATATCTATGCTGCATCATAGGGCAGGCAATTTTCTGTGACCACAAGACAGCACTCACACTGTAGAATTATACCGGATACATTTCCAGTAATGCAAGTGACAAATGCTGAAAATGTATTATCCTGCCAAGAGACTTTAGTTAGGATTTCTATCTAGTTTATAAAACTTTTCACAATGTTCCATAAAAGAATTATACTTTAATAATGAAAACAATACATATTCAAAAGCAGATTTTTTTTGTAAAGATAACTAGAGATCCAACAGAAACATCTCTTGACAATCATCACTGAGACATGCTTCCGGAGTGTATGTTTTTGCTTCCAACATTAGAAAATAATACTTGCATTGTCCGATGTGATGAAATCATGTATATTGAAAAACAATACAGCTGGAGGAAGTGCTAGCAAATTCTGGCTTCATAAAGAGAACAAGCTGAACTTGAGTTTGTTCTCTATATTTTGTAAGAGTTTGAAGTCAAAAGCCACAAGCCAAAATGACTTCTCTTCTGAAAACGAAGTACCATAGCTATGTAAAAACAAACCACCAATCGTAAAATAGACCTTCCTGTAAGTGTACACTTAAATTCCTACATGTTGCAAAATACAGCAACAGTATAATTTATTTTTCTTAAAACATAGCTGCATCTTTTATCATTGCAAGACAGTGCTTGAGCTAAAGTCCAGTGGCTTTGCCTGGGCTGAGATGATGTCATCTCAGTCTCCTTTCCCCAAGTGATCTGACTGCAATGCTGTAACTTTGCAATTAGTCACAAAATAATACTGGCATTTATACTGTACTTGTTTGATACAATTGTAGTATAAAACAATGATAACACTGGCCAACATACAAATGTTAGACATGCTCCTGGGTATATCTGACCCGCTGATTCCAAAAATGGCACCAATTTTTCCCTATGAGCTCTAGCCTATGAGATACTGCATAAATGTCATATACCACTCTTCGCTCTGATCACTAGTCAAAAATCAAGATATTTTAATGCAGTGTTTTATTTAAAATAGAACTATAGGCAAAATGTTTTTTTCATTTTCGATAAAGCAAGGGAGGGTTACAACCCCTGTCACATTTTTTTCCGCTACCTGTGTCCCGTTGTGGAAATTTCCCTTCACTTCCTGTCCCATAGCCAAACAGGAAGTGAGAAGAAATACCTACAAATTAAGGAAATTCCTTGGGGATCCCCAGATCACTAGAACTAATGCTCCATTGGAAGATTTACCCTCTATTACTTTTCTGGGGGACAGGCCAAAGTTTGTGATTTTCGTGCACTTTCATTGATAATAGTAAACAGTGGGCACAGACAGCAATAAAAACTGACAAGTGTTCTAATCCTTCTGACCTCTATCAAAAACAAAAAAAAATTTTTTACCTTTAGTTATACTTCAATATCCTTGCAGCATACAAGAAACAATTAAAATTTTAAAAGAAAACTGTAATATACTAAAGCCACTCATAGATGGAGCGAATCAACTGGCTGAGATTTGGTCCATCTATGGGCAAGCTGGTTGTGCTGAAGTCAATCCATCAATGGACTTCAGTACAACCAACCTGTCACATTTTTTACATGCGATTACTGCCAGAGGCTATAACTGCCAGTAATGATCAATGTGTTCTGCTGGCCGGGAAGGCTCCCCACTGGCAGAAAATAATAGCACTGCAGGAGGGAGTCCCCCCATCAACACTGACCATATCTGAGAAACTAGAGCTGAAGCAGGGTAACCAATGCAACTTTCTGAATCAGCGCCACAAATAACCCCAAAAACAGGTCTAAAAAGCAAGACACCAAGAAAAAAAGATTTTTTTTGGACTGTGCAATCTATTAAGTAAATCAAAATTAATAATTAAAACATTTTGCCCATTTGTGAGTTATTTAAAAAAATGAGCAGGGTTTTTATTAAAAAAGGTTTGAAAAGATTGATCTGACACTGAATATTGTCATCTACATTTTGTGATTATTGTGATTTGTGAATGGGTCATCTAGTATATCATACATTTCTTTAAAAAAAAAAAAAAAAAAAAAAATATATATATATATATATATATATATATATATATATATGTGTGTATACAGTTGTGTTCAAATTAATAGCAGTGTTTTGAAAAAAGTGAATAAAGCTCAAAATCCTTCTAATAGCTTTTATTTCCATCCACACAAATGCATTGGGAACACGACACATTCTGTTCCAAATCAAAACATGAAGA